AAAAAATCTTTCTTGGTTTGAACCAGCCCAACGCTTAGAAAAACTATTATGAAACAGTAAGAATTTACTTTGGATTAGAACAGCAATTTTCAACCGGTGTGCCACAAGAATTTTTAAAATATGCAATTCTTGACTTTTTAGTCAGGGACACGGGCCTCTTTTCCCTTGGATTGTCAGATTAAAGAAATGACAACAGCCAACACAACAATAGCTCTCCAGTGTGAGTGAATCAAAATTAGACTTTTTTTTTTGTCAGATTGACAAACGATACCTTTTTTTGGTGTGCCTTGGAATTTCAGTCATTAGTTTATGTGCCATGAGATGAAAAAGATTGAAAATCGCTAGATTAGAACATGGAGCGGATGGGAAGCATCTTATAGTATCATTTGCAGCTGGGTAGTATTGCGTCTGTTAAAATAAGGAAAAACAGGTGAGCGAGCATCTAGGTTTGCAGTCAGTCTGTGACCTCATTCTAAGTTAGAGAAGTACAAATTGTTCAGCAGCTCCTGGTTGAGAATCCCCTGTGCGCAGGCCAGGTAGATGTTTTTAATGGATAACAATGTTAAGTTGAGTGAAATGTGACTGAGATATATAAATGGAAACAGTTTTATTATTACCTTTTGGGGGGTCTTACTACCTAATAAGAATAGTTCTTATTAATGACCATTTGCATGCTGAGATGTTAACAGGATTAAACTTGAACATCTCCAGATATGTATTAATTACAATCAAATAATCTTTCTGTGCTAGCCATTGTTCTAAAGACTGTATGTATTAACTCACTTTATTTTACCAGCAGTGAGCTCGATACTGTAACTGGGAAATAAACGTAGTGGGATTAAGTGCTTGGTCCAGAGCCAGCACTCGGGTCCCATGCTCTTCACCCTGCTGGAGGCCTTGCCTTCCACCCGACCTCCTCCTGGCGCGGGCAGGTGGTTGTGTTCTAATTGGTTCCGAGAGCTGAGTGATTTTTTTTTTAATATATTTTTTATTGATTTTTTACAGAGAGGAAGGGAGAGAGATAGAGAGTTAGAAACATCGATGAGAGAGAAACATCGATCAGCTGCCTCCTGCACATCTCCTACTGGGGATATGCCCGCAACCAAGGTACATGCCCTTGACCGGAATTGAACCTGGGACCTTCCAGTCCGCAGGCTGACGCTCTATCCACTGAGCCAAACCGGTTTCGGCTGAGTGATTATTTTAAATTTTGCTAATTCCATCCTGCAGCCCTTAGAAATTACAGTACTGTACAAATCTGCCTGGATTTATGAAATAGGTAGATCTGAGAGATTGTATACAAATGGAATGGAAAATGAAGTTCAAATGAACCAGAATGCCTTTTAAATTCTGCAGCAAATCTTTTAAAGCTTTTTCCTAAGTAAATCTGGAAAGCAAAGAAAATCTTCAAAAACTTAATCCAACTTGCTTGTTTATTTTATTTATTTTTAAAGCATAGGGTTTTTTAAAAATACACTTTTGATTTCAGAGAGGAAGAAGACAGGGAGAGAGAAACATCAGTGATGAGAGGGAATCATTGATTTGCTGCCTCCTGCACGCCCCCTACTGGGGATTTAGCCCAAAACCTGGGCATGTGCCCTTGACCGGAATCGAACCTGGGACCCTTCAGTCGCAGGCTGACGCTCTATCCACTGAGCAAAACCAGCTAGGACCCAAGTTGCTGTTTTACAGGCAAGGAAATAGAGCCCAGGAGAGGTGCAGTGACCTAACCTGTTTGTGAACGTTTTCTACTGCATCACTATCCCGAAAAGTGCTCAGGAGGAGCCAAGGGTATTGCTGCGAATTTAAATTTCAAGTACACATTGAGATCACTTGGTCAATAAATTGGTCATCTAGACAGAGCCTGTCTTGTTTTTTAAACATTTTTTTAAATTGATTTCAGAGAGAGGAAGGGAGAGGGAGAGAGAGAAACATCGATAGGCTGCCTCCTACTGGGGATCGAGCCCGAAATCCAGGCATGTGCCCTGACCTGGAATGCAGCCGGCAGCCTGGTGCGTGGGACTACGCTCCACCAGCTGAGCCACACAGCCCGGTTAATGTGCTAACAGAATATTTGTCTCTGGATATTTGCTTAAAGCTCACTCACAGCAATGAGACCTCGATTTAACAATAGTGAGCTTTATCTTCTGACTAAAAATTAACAGGAATATCTTTAGATTTTCCATTGTAAGCTAAATTCTTACTTGGGAAGTTGCCTTTATTTATTAATATAAATACATATTTGGCTTTGATGGCAGGTGTGTTGAAACCATGCCATTTCCAGGAGGTTAAATGCAACACACTTATGTGGAGAGCCCGAGGCCTTGTGGGGGCTCTTTAAAAAGCACAGAATGGGCAGCCTCCAGCCCTCTTTTCTCTGCCAGTAGCCAAGTCAGCATGGATCTGTATCTTTTTATTTGACAGCATAATTATGAGGGTGGGGCCCGAGCTAGAACGAAGACTGCTACTCAGGCTTTGACACAGCCTAGAAGCTATATAGTTTGTGGTTTGGAGCAGAGTTTGTTCTTCTACAAATATCCTACTGGTTTCCTAAAAGAAAAAACTAGGGAGTCAATGATAGTTTGGCTTGACCTACGTGGCTCAGTGGTTGAGCGTCGACCTATGAACCAGGAGGTCTGGGTTCAATTCCGGTCAGGCGTGCCCTGGCCGATCCAGTAGCGGGACATGCAGGAGACAGCCGATCAGTGATTTTCATCATTGATGTTTCTATCTCTCCCTCTCCCCTTCCTCTCTGAAATCAATAAAAATATATTCTAGGGGGTGGGGGGAAGAACGACAATTTTAAATTGTCTAAAGTTGCGTCCTCGCAGAGGTTCGATTTACCACCTTTCCATCACTGCCCCCTCCCCAGTCAAATTCAGTTCATTTCTGTATTTGAGGGTATCTGGCCCTCAGAGCTCGGCATGCAATTGCTGTTGTGAAAGGGCAAGTGTCAGGATGGTTTTTGTCGTTCCTTTATACAGAACGATACTGTTGGCAGGTATGGCACGTTTGTGTGTTCATTCGGCAAACCAAGTGCCAGATACTGCTTTTGACAAAGGGCAGCACCTCGCTAAGTGTTGCCATGGAGTCACACACATGCTGGGTGGCACAAAGGGGCTGCAGGAGCTGAGGAAAACTTCTTGGAGAAGCTAACATTTGGGTTAGAGCTAGTGAGCTTTTTATTAAATGACCCCTAGGCTGTATCAGTCAGCTGGTTGAGCCATCTGCTGCCAGGGGGGTTGGAGCTGCTGCGCCTACCCCGCCAGGTGGTTGTATTCATTGTGATCTTGATCTTTTGCAGTTGAGGAACCTGCTGACATGGTACGCTAAGGAATTCAAAGACCCTCTGCTGCAGGACCCCCCAGTGTGGTTTAAATCCTTCCTGTTTTGCGAGCTTGTGTTTCAGCTGCCTTTCTTTCCCATTGCAACATACGCCTTCTTCAAAGGTTGGTGAATGGTGGGGAAATCCCATTCCTGCTCAAATCAGGTCCCAGAAATCTTGGGGAAAGTATCTTCAAAGGGGAGAGGAGGGGCCCCTGTGGTTGTGTGAGGGGGTGGAGGATGTGGTGGGACGGCCAGGATGGCTCCTATAAAGGGACATCATGTGGCTCAGGCTAATGTCTGTGGTCGGCTCGGCTGCATAACTGCTCAGCCAACTGGACATCTCTCATACACGGGAAACTTGAGGCTCCTTAAAGCTTGAACTTGTTGCTTTTTATTTCTTTTATTATTGGGTTTCATTTTTCTGTTTTAGGTAGTATCATGCTGGCTTGTAAGTAGTAGCATCAAGCTAATTCCGAGGGTTAACTTCTTTTTAAAAAATGATTCTTACAGTGTCCCCATATGTCTGATGCTGTTATAAAGAAAGTAGTCATACCGACATATGTGGTAACTAAGCTTGTAGAGCTTATCTCCCACTGCAGCTCCCAATCCATCTCTGGGCAGAATCTACTGATCCTCTCACCTACATATACTATAATTACTTAACAGACATGTTGCTGTCAGCCGCCCTCCCGTCCCCGTCCCCCCCCCCACACACACACTTCAGACCAAACAGGTTTAACTTTTACTGCCCTAGAGTTTTCCTGAATTAAATTCCAATTCCCACCCTGGCTCTTTGGAAAATTTGCACATTTAGGCAGCATGATAACACATCTGGTTTTCCATTTGTTTCCACTTGGTAAAGGAGGTAGAATGGTTCGGCTGAAAGGAGCAGTCAGAGGTGTCCTGGGGCGCGTCATGGGCAGACCTAACGCTTATCTCTCTTCCCGACACCTGCAGGAGGCTGCAAGTGGATTCGCACCGCCGCCATCGTCTACTCAGCCCACACCATGACAACCCTGATTCCAATTCTCTGCACGTTTCTGTTGGAGGATTTCTCTAAAGCCAGTGGTTTCAAAGGACAAGGGCCTAAGACTTTACGTGAACGCTTAACCCTCGTATCTGTCTATGCCCCTTACTTTCTCATCCCTCTTATGCTTCTGCTTTTCATGTTGCGGAGCCCCTACTACAAATATGAGGAGAAAAGAAAGAAAAAATGAGAACTACACAAGGAAAACTGCTCAGAACCCATGTCTTCAGTAGCATTTGAAACACCAGCAGCAGGAGCCATAAACTGTCACCTTCCATGGGCACTGGCACAGACCCATCACCTGAGGACGGGCCACATTCACCATGTGCCCACATCACCTTCCATGGGCACTGGCACAGACCCATCACCTGACGTTCCATTGCAGAATTACCAAAAACAGGACCAGACCAGAAATGGATAAACTTCTAAGAAACATATCCTGCTTGGCATTTTCATGAGTTATTTGATCCACAATATGCATGTGACTAATCCCCTTGACTCAAGATTCTCTGCAGCAAATCCCGATTCAGCAAAATGAGTAGTACGATGTTTCAGGCCATTTTTAAGTTTCAAATTATGCCTCTTCAATATTCATTAAAAACTATGTTGTTTTCTTGCCTGTACCCCTGGTGGGGGAAGGAGAGAGAGAATAGTCTGCAAGAGGTTTAAGGTTCAGCCCTGGCTGACCTTTCAGTCAGATATGGGTTAAACCAGAAGGTGCTTTGTTTCTGTTTTAAATGGCTCATCCCAGAGGAGAAATTTTTTTTAGTCTCCTTGTTTATCTTCTTTCCAAACTTTAGTCCTGTCTTTTTACAGACCACCGGACAGGAGTCCCTCTACTCTGAGGTCTGGTGTCTCAAACCTGACCTGGAAGTGTGCTGCCTTCTGGATAACTACATTCTTCCTAATAGTTTAATCATTCCTCCCCGTGTTTGTCTCAGTCAAATGGGGGGACAGCTGGGCATAACATGTCCACTGTATGCACCTAGGGTCTCTTCATGTTAGTACCTGGTGTTCCATTAGCTTTCTCTAAGTTCATACTCAAAGCTAACTTAAAAAAAAAAAAAAGGTTTATGAACACATCCAGTCAATCCCCTCTTGCCTGTTCTGCTCACAAGCCATATTACTCTAATTATTGGGAGTATCCTCTGACTCGTGTCCAGTCCAAATAAAGGCAGCTGCTGGCCATTGCCTGGTTTGTTTTGTGGACAAGGGGCTGGAGAGTCCAAGGTTCTCTTACAAGTGATTAAGTGTACACTTTAAGGGCACCAGGAAAAGAGGTAGATAAGCCATTTGAAAACAATAATTTATTGCTTTTTTTCTCCAAAGCTTTGTGAATTTACAAAAAAAAAATCAAAGTTTACAGACTGCTTATTTCAGAATAAGAATGCAAGAGGTGAGAACCTGGGCCACCGTGGTCGCAGGGCGTCTACCAGATCTGCACTGGCATCTGAAACAAGCCCCCGCCCCAGATCTGTTTTATTGCCTTCAGAGACGATGCATCCTTCACACACCATCTCACATGATATACTTGGGTCATTAGTCAAAGTCACTGGAATGGTACAGAGGTTTTTTTTTTTTTTTTCCTACCCTCCTGCTATACAATGAAATTTTCAGTTCATTTCTGAAAAATAAATTGGTCAATAAATTCATTTTGTTCTGCTTCTACTTTACACAAAGCTTCATATTCAACCCGATACCTGAAAAACAAAATTGTTAGAAGCCCTAAAAATGGATGAAATAAACCATGGACTAATTCTTCTAGAGAAGAATATAGATGACTTAAATGATTCCAAGAAACGGTGTTAAATGAAGTTAGGGCAAGAGAGAAAAGACTAGATGTGCAGAGCCCTGCACAGGGCCACCATGAGAAATCTTCGGCCCTTAGAGGGTCTTCCGCCAGCCACCTTTGCCCACTAGCTACCTGAGTCTTCACGCTCTCAAACTACTACAGGTGATTTGATATTAATGAGTTTTCCATCAAATTTTATTTTTAAAACTTTCAAATAGGATGACAAGTGAGACACTTTCTAGGAGAAAAATGAAGAATAAGGATAAGAGGTGACTGTTAAGAAGGAAAAATAGAACTGCAGTGGAGTAAAGACCTTGCTTTACATAATGTCTTACCTTTCGAGCTGCATTTTCTTTTCCGCTATTAGTGCTTGGAGTTGCTGCTGTTGGGCTTCTCTTTGCTTTGCTATAGATTTGAGCAAATTGCGAGCACCAATGGCCTAGAAGAACAGTGTTGCCAAAGAAAGTCATGGCTTCATTCAAACCATCTTCAGCGTTAAGTCCTCAACTGGGTAAGCACCACTTTGGGGCTACCTCACTGCCCAGAAGGGAAAAGAAGGTTGAACCCCAGAGCTTTGGGAAAAAGAAAGGATTAACCTCAGGATTCCAAAGTTAGAATTGGCCTAGAGCTCTGAGGCAGATCTAGGAGTATCCCCAGGGTCTGGAACATTTAGTGCTCTTTGCCAAGTCATCTATACTCTGTACATCTTCATTTATAAGATGATAAAACCATCTATTTCAGTGATGTGACGATTAAAGGAAATAATGACAAAGTACCAGCATATGAGAATTCAAAGTAGGTTAATTGGACCAGGAATTGTTTTTAAAAAACAGGTATAATTGACATGTAATATTTCAGGTGTACAACATGAGTTGATACTTGCATAGGAAATGTTATTTAAAATCTTGTTTTATTAAAAGAACATCCTCCTCAAGTTGTGATAAAGACACACACACACACACACACACACACACACACACAAAGTCAAGAAGGCAGAAGATGACAGGCTAGTGAACGAGGATCCCAGGCCAAGATTGAGATAAAATGCATGCTGATCTTACCTTCATCTTCTCATTTTCTGCTTCTTTTGCAAGTTGGTCAACAAGCTCAAGTAAACCACCAACTATTTTCTGAAATTGGCCAATTTCTTTGGGGGAAAGAAGAAAATGTTTTTATTTCCTCAGTGTCATCACTCTCCCTTTCAGCGGGAGGGAAGGACTGACTGCCCCTGCTAATTTGCATCCAAACAATTTGGTGCCTGCTGGTCTGACGTCTGCCCGCCTTGGTCTGGACCTAGAGATGATGGCCATGTCCAGAGCTAGACTGGGGAGGATCCGGACTTTGAGCCCCCACGACCAGCTAGCTGCTGTTACCTCAGGCTATGAAGGCCCTGGTGGACCTATTCTATGGGTGGATCCCATCCTGCCGTCCCCCCCACCTCCCCCCAGGAGGTACAAAGGGCCACATTCATGAAAGGACTGCCTCAGGACAGGAAGCTGCCTCTTGTAGCCACAGATACACTAGATTTCAGTTGGTGGGGCTATCCACTGTGACCACAGCTAATAAAGAGCTCAAAGCATTTAAGTGCCTAATCTCCCATTCCCCTTTTTTCAATATCCTTGGGTGTGGTGGAACCCCCACTCCTGAGGAGTAAGCTAAGGCCCAAGAAGATGGGACAGCATTCCCAGCAACCAGAAGGCTGGCAATAGAACTCATGCTACCTTCACCAGGTGAGCTCTCCACAGCCTACAGTCCCCAGAAGGCTCGGAAATCCCTGCTCTAGCTAGACCTGCTCTTTATTCGCGCCACTGGTCTTGCTTGGCTGCTAGGACAGGAGGTGTCCTGGGTATCTCCTGTTAAAAGATGTTTTCAAGGGGTCTGTTGAGCTGCTTCTAGGGACTCCAGTTAATCAACTTTTACTCCCAATGCAGACAAGCCCACTACTGAGAATACTATTTCTCCCAAGAAATCAAGTCACCAGTACATAACTCTATTTCCCACTCCCAAGCCATAGTTCTGCTCCCATGAAGTTTAAGGTTTCTGAGAGCAAAAAAATCAATGATGGCATATCTCAAAACACACCCTCCTCTCAGCATTTCAGCGTCTGCTTTGACTGGTGTTCCCTGTGGGACTACATGAGAGCATAAGAAGAGGGCAGGTAGATAAGGTGGGTGGCACATGGGAATTCATAAAGGTCAGGGTCAACCTTCAGGGAGCCAACAGCTCCATTCTGGCTGGGCCAAGAGCAACAGCTGGGAGGTAGGGATGGGGCACAGTTGGAATAATTCAAAGCTGAGTAGCAACATGTCTCCCCAAATGACACTCACTGTCCACGAAGTCCTTGCACTCTTCCTTGAGCTCTGTGGTCTGCTGGCTGACCTCTGGGTCCAACACCCGCAGCTTGTTCAGTTCATCAAAGTGCAACCCAGCTTCCCCCAGGATGTCCTTGGCCATAGCTGTAAGGAAAGCAACCCCAATCCATGATCACTTCCCAGCCGTCCAAAGAAAGGCCTGCTTCCAGCCCAGCCCACTCCTGCCCCCAGATACCAATGCCAAAACCCCAGCTGTTCCAAAGACTCCCCCGTCCCTCTGCCTCCACCTCTCTAAGCCTCACCTGTTTCCCTTCCAGGTTCTCTAGAGAAGATCTGCTCTGAAGGAGTGACAGTAGCAGCCAGGAGGAGATGTGTCATAGGATCAAGGGTCAGGAAAGAATAAAGTCCAGTTGCTTGTCACAGGCATCGTTCATTCAACACATATTTCTTGAGTGCCTACTACATGCCAACATCGCTAGATGCTGGGGGTACAAAGATGAGTGCAACATGGTACCCGCCCTGGAGGAGCACAGTTTAGCTGGAGGAAGACAGACATGTAAACTGAAAAATTATACTGTGTTAAGTGCTTTTACAGAAATATCACTAAAGCACTAGAGAACAGTTAACTTGGCCTGAGGAAGTTCACATCTGAATTAAGTTGTTAGCCATAAGCATATTTATTTATCCCCAATTATATACCCAAAAGGACACGAAAAAGCTTTTCAAATGCAGAACTGCAACAACACAAAAAGCAAGTGAAGAGAAAGTCTGGGTGAATTAAAAATCAGGGTTAAAAAAATAAGCCAGGAGTAAGCATATTGCCCACAATGTATGCCAGGGGGTACTGTGCGCTTGCCTGAACCAGGACCCAAAGTTGGGTCAGTCTCTTTCAAGCAGAAAACACACAGTAAGGAAGTCAGGGCTGGCATTCCAAGCAAAGAACAGCATGAACAACAGCCTGACGTCACTGGAAGGGCCTAGAAGATGAAAGGACAGAGGGTGGAGCTGGAAAGGTCAGAAGGAGCCAGATCAGAGAGACCCTGTGTGCCAAGCTGAGTTTGGGGTTCTTCTGTCGGCAAGAGAACCAGCACAGACATCTCCTCCCTTCCGAGGCCACCCTGCATTCCTGGTCTAAAGGACGCCTCAGTTCTTGTAAAGAAACACTGAAAACACCCTCATTCTGGCTTTAAAATAACACACACACACACACACAAAACACATGCCC